CGGGAGTGCAGCGGGCACAGGTGCGACATGTGTCGTAGACGCACTCGGTAGCGACACATGGATGGGACGGCGTAGCAAGCATCAACTCTGCATATAACATGCACATTTCTACGTAAATCCATGATTCATTCTTTTAAAATTCTCCAAATTCCTCTAAATGAACAGTTTGTTGAAACTCAGGAGCCGAAAACCCGAGAATAATAAAATTCGAGATAGGTAGCCGTTTTGCAGGGCACTGCATGTGACTCCACGTCGTTCTTTGATTTATACAGGTGTCATGTTTGCATTATAACCCGACTTATAAAATGACCTGGTGAAAATGACATGTAACACCATCTTTTTGAAGTCACTAAAACCTCAATAGGTATGTAATAGGTATGTACAAAATGGTCCGGTATTTGTATTTTATAGGTACTTTTAAGTTCTATCTACCAACCTTATATGTCACAATTAGGCGTGTCTGGAAAAAAGCCGTTTCGAAGATGTTAATGCAATAAAAATGGTGTTTAGAGCTTAAAACCGTTAACGTTCTCAAGCGTCAACTGCAGAATAGGTATTGACCCTAAGATAATCTAACTCGTGACCTCTCAGCAAGTCGTGAGGTAAATGATTCCACTCCCTCCCGTCTCACCAAACCCCTGCCCGTATACGTCACATTTGCTCCGAGTGCTCGTTGCGCCACTATATTGCAACTACATGCCTCTCCGGCTGGTCACCACGCGGAGGCTGAGGGGTGACGGCGAGGGACCGTCAGACAGGGGTATCCCCGGAGAGACAGAATGGGGTGGTGCAGCTGAGGATCGTGGCGCAATCGGTGACGTGGGTTCAGGGTAGGAACTAGGAGGCTTTGCTCGAGAATATGGGAGGTGTGAGCTTGGATGGATGTTTGAGAAACAGAGAAGGCACTGATAGCACAGAAGGGAGCTTTGTCGCTTGATTTCCACAAGGTTTATGTTAAAATATCTTTTCGAACTAAATAACAGATCTTCTTGCAGAGCTATGAAGCCTGTGATGTCATGTTTCTGGACGGTCAAGAGAGACAGACAGACGGCAAGAACACATTTAAAGGTAGTGTGCCAGCTTCCTTGGACCGTATGGAGTTAATGGCCCAGATAAGGAGAACCGGATTTTTAGAACTTATCCATACCTTCAAAACTCATGGAAACGTCTTAAATTCTTCAAATTTTGAGTACCCCAGTGCGAAATTCGCCCCGACGGGTTGTCGGTCGTACCCCAACCACATTTCACACCACTATGAACAATAAATGCACACACTGAAATCGCTATTACCGATATGCTCATCCAATCAAGTTTCGATAAACCCGTTCATCATCATCTCCTGCGGTTTCGAACACGCCTGTTAGGTGGCTTCTGATGCTCGTCGAGGTCGGAATTTCCAAATACGCGTGGTGCGTCGGGCCGCGCGCTCTGACTTCGGCCAAGAAAAATGCGTCAGCTGATCATTGTCATTTCTGCCACTTGCGTGTGGTGAAATGGGGTCATAACTTATAAGACGGCTTTTTCATATCAATTATTTTACATAAAATCATATTTCAAACCATAAATAATGTTCGACAGCCAAATAAAAGAAACAATACAATACGGGCTTACAGTTTAAGGCTCGACATTGTGTTGTCTACGATTAGACAGCTGATAACTCATTCCCGTACGTCGTATGGTCGTAACACTATAATGACCTTTGCTTATTGTCACAAGTGCGCCGCATTCGCGATTGTTGCCCGACGCCTGTTTGCAGGTGAGCCCACTACAGTTGTTATACATATCTAAAAACCGAAAAACTTTTAGGCGAAAAAGGCACTATTCCAGGCCCATTTTTGATTTTTTTGCGATATTAGGTAAAAACAGAAGCTTCTTATCCTAGGAAAAATAAAATGGGAAATCTTTCAAAGGTGGCACACTACCTTTAATTTGGGTCAACTTGGCTATCTCTCGCCTCACCTCCCCCGCGTCTCTCCCATTACCATGCGCAAGGCCCAGAGCGGCGGCGCCCGCCCGCCACGGCTCCTCACCTTCGCAGCACGGGCCGGCGCGGCTGACCCCAGGCGCTATATGACGTCACGTCTGGTGACGTCACATACCAGACAGGCGGCGCGGCGCGCCGCGGGCCGGTCCAGGCGCGGCAGAGTCGAGTGGTCTGGGGCGCGAGGGTGGTGTGGCTGTGAGGAGGGCGCAAGGCCTCGGGCGTCGCGGTATCTTGTACCGTACCTGAGCGCCCGCCATGTCCGACTACCATCTGCTGGGTCTGGTGTTGGTGCCCGTGGTCGGGATAGTGATCGCGTTCTTCATCGTCTTTCTGTGCAAGGGCCTGGACATTTGTCTGCCGTCCGGGCCCGGGCCGTACGCGCACCTGGCGACCGACGCGGTGCCGCCGGGCCGCGCCGCGCGGGAGCAGAGGCTCCGGGACAAGGAATGTGAGGCGCAGGGCGGCGCTCTATTCGCCACCGCCGCCAGCGGAGTCGCGCCCGTTCTGCCGCCGATGGCCCCCAGGACTGTGCCGCAACAGTGGGCTGCGGCGGAGCCCGTGGCGCCGAGGGCTCCCGTGCCTCCCGCGGCTCCGAGGGCTCCCGTGGCTCCGGGAGCTCCGAGGACGAGATCGTCGATGGCTCAGATGATCCCGATGGAGATTATGGCGGAGCGGGCGCCGATGCCGCCGCAGGGACCGCTGACGCCCCTGCACCTGCTCGGCCGCGACCAGTCGTGAGGAATCACCGCGTCCTTCTCTACATCTCCGGCCGGGTGGGGCAGCTAAGATGGGCAGCTGGAGTCCGGCCGAGCAGCCGGTTTTCGGTGGAGAGGGCCGCCGATTGCTGCAGACGCTCCTAAAATGGCCAACGTCAGACAGTCACGCAAATACCGCGGTCGTTTGACTCGTCTGAGGAGCTTTCAACTCTACCTATGAGACTCAAACTCGCCAATCACGTGAATTGTTGGTCGAAGTTCGGATGACGGCAAGGTTTGATATTTGACCGCTGTGTGAGGGAGGTCATGCGACTGAACCTTGTCTTCCCAGCAGCAGCGCCCATGCCACCCAAGCAATCAAAAGTTTCCGGCGCGGTGTCGCTGCCCCACGAACGCCACATGGCCCATGACGACATATGAGTTATGATTGAGCCCACCGTGCTCTGGCGGACACCCTAATCGCTGTGGTGTGAAGGTATACACGTCACACAGGAACTTCGAACGAGTGCATTTGTGTTTCGACCGGCTTTGACCGCGGCACCGACCGGCCGGCAGGAGCGGAGGGACGCCAAGACTCTGTCCCTGTGCGGTCAAGTGTACTGGTACATATATGGGATCTGATCGGCGCTTTATGGCGAGCACCGGCACTCGAGACATGCCCTCTCGAGGACGGCGAAACCAAACATTCCGCGGTCTGAGCGCCGATCTGCTGATGCGTCGAGAAACTTATCGTGGCTGTAGTTTGATCTTGGTATTAGTAATCTCGTGATGCGTGTTTTTCTCTTTTAGTTACATGCGTCTGTACCTATCTTTTTACAGCGTAACGTTTGTTATTTGTGGTCAGTTAGAAAAAAAACTTCTGATGTCTTTGTTTGTGAGGATGTGTGCGTAATTGTGCACCTGGCAACTCATTTTGTGATAAGTCATTTCGTGTCACATTGAAGGTCAACCGCAGATGGTGACGAAGATTTGTGAGAACAGCCGGGAAAATATGTAATCCCTGGCCTTTGGCGACACGATTACTATCCAACTGGCCGGCGATTAGACTAAGCTTGTCATGTCTCAGTCAGTACGGTTTCTTAGTCATATCTCGCAATCTGTGTTTCGTTGTCAAGGGCAATTCCTGGTCCGGAAATGCCAAAATCTTGACGTAGGGGGGGGGGGACCGTCTAAGCCTACGATCCGTTTACGAATGCGCATGCGGTACATATGCTAATGTTGCTACGTTGTTGCGTGTTTGTTGGGCGACGAGATTGCGTGAGCAGCAAAGGACAATGCCGCACTCGCGCTGCAGTTCGTTGCATTTGAATACGTGCGTCTGCCGACTGTTGTCTCGTGATTGGAGGCATAACCAAGTACCAACCATTCAAAGAGCTTCTTGAACACTGAACAGTCATTGCTTCCAAGAAGCGAAAATGCTTTTTACCGATTGATATTGTTATTTCGTTACGTTCGTAGAATAAACGTATTTAATTGCTGAATCGCTTGTATCACGTAACGCTACATAGCTTAAACGTCTTGACGTTCTAACCGCACAATGGCCGTTTTCACGACGGGCTATCCGGCGAATGCACGTAATTTGACCAAATCTGCACCTAATCTCTTTTACAGCAAATATCTTCATTTTATAAAGTTATTTCAGGGTTTTAATCGATGATACTCTCTGATAATATGATAAAGCAGGCATATAACCAATTAGTGCAACCCTATCTGATAGCTACTAAAAGATACGCTGAACCTAATTTGACTAAATGTGCACCTAATCTGTACCAAATGGCACCATATGTGTACCAGATGGCCGTCGTGAAAACGGCTAATATCTCTCACTTCGAAAAGTTATTTCGAGCTCTGCCGCCTGCGTCGACCTCGCCAGAGATGCCGGGGAATTTCGTTGTCCAAGGAAGTCCATTGTGCACTGCTTTCTCTCATTCATCACTGGAGTTTCTCGAAACAGTCGGAAATTCCAGGAGACCCTCCACGCGGCACGCACACATTTCTTATGGATTAGACGCGCAGTTAAGCAAATCAATCTCTGTCACCATAAACATATTATGTGCAGTCGGACAATCATTCATACATTGCACACAGACACTCACACTGGCACTGGTCGCCCAGAAAGGCCATGAGATCGGTCAGTGTCCTCCCTCCCCTCCGCCGCAGCCGGAGCTGACTAGGATGAAGACGGAGGGGAGCCTCCTCCGCCAGGGGCGGGTCGTCCACTGGGTCCAGTCGCAGACGATTCCACGCTTCCCGCGCCGCCTGGCACGCCCAATAGCTTCGCTCCTCCTTTAATATTTGCAGGAGCGGCTCGATGGCCGCCTCCGCCTGCCGCTTCAGCTCCTGGCGCTTGATGGTGTCTGCCAGAAGAGCTTGTTCTGCCAGGACGAGCGGTTTCAGGCCTCTCGCCCAGCGCTGACTGGGAATTCCCCAAGGAATCTCCCGTCCCAGCGGCGTGTATACTTCTCAGACCGCTCAGACGAGCTGGGCCGATCGGCTGACGATTCTCACAGACGAGTTGGGGCGGTTGGCTGACGAGTGCGGAGTGGCCATGACTTTTGTTACGTCAAGGCTGAAAAAGGGTTCTTTAGATACCTCTTTAAGCATCCCTCTTAAAGTCTGCACACCTCGTCGCCCATGATTTCAATGATAAGATCCGCCGCTGGGGCGCGATTGGCGGGCACCTTATCAGCCGCGTGGTACGCTGCAACTGTTTGGCCACCGATGTCGCTAGTACGAGTTACAGTCTCGTTCTAGCGTTGCCGCAGCATGGATAGCCACCCTTCCGACTCTCCTCCAGTGGCATTGTCTCGCTGGCCGAGTCCCGTCCCGGAGGGCCCGGCTTCTCCCGACACAGACGCGTCCACCGTGACGTGGGAGCCCCAGCGCACCGATATAGACGGGGAACAGTGCGCGGGGACTTCCCCGCCGTCGGGGGGAGTCGAGGAGCGGCTCCGGGGGGAACCATCCCAGCTGACGACGGAGAAGGTGAGCACTTGTACTGGATACTCCGCGCACTCGATGAGCTCCGTGCACTAAAGACTCCGGGCCCTCGGTGTCTCTCCAATGACTCCATGTCTCCTTTTATACCCGGAATCGCAATCCTTTTTGCCTGCGCAGCTGTATGATGCCGATGACTTGATAAATCGCCGGTGTCGGCTTGCCGTTCCACAGGGGTGTTTCATCTTTGTCCTTTATTGGGTCTGCAGCCTGCGTGATATACCGAGCATCCTTGCTCTGTGTATGGTAAGTGGTGACTCATGAGTGGCGTCGGTCCTTTCTCCGCAGCTGGTTGTCATTTGGCCGAGTGCAGTGGTTATGATGTTTGCCAACTTCTGGCCATCTATCGAACACCTTTCACCTTTGTTTCCGGGACGCTCCTCTTGTGCTGGCTTTTCTGCTTTGCAGGGGGTCGGCAGCGTCATCGGCACTTCGGTAATCGCCACTCCATTGACCCGCATTTCTTCCGGTGGAATGCCCGTCTCTCTGGACGCACAGTCGCACACGTTTGTACCTTTGTTCCGCTGGGGGAGGGGGTCGTATGTCCGGTGTGGGCGACTTATAACTTAGTTTGGCTGTAATCAGGATAGGTATCATCATGCAGAGATAACATGAATCATGTTATCTATGCATCATGGGTATTGGTAGACCTGTAGTGTCCGCCATGGTCTTTCCAGCTGTTCCTGTTTTTGGCCGAACGCTCATGGTATTTGCGAATTTTCAATTATTGCTCTTGTTTGCTGGACACTAATTTGTCTCAGCTGCCGTCCAGTACCAGTGGTCTCCGACCGTCGACGTCAGGTAGATGCCTGCTAAGGCATTGGCGTGTCACAATCTCAGTGGATCACCTGTGAATGTTTACATCTTTCTCCCCTCGGGTGAGGGAGATATGTTTTTCTTTTTAACATCACCTATGCCAATTATATGAGCTTTCCACTGTCGCAAATGCTGACCACATTCGATCCGTTCGAGTTTGGCCTCGACTTTGCACTTCTCACCTCTCCTGGCGCCGCTGTTGCTATTGACCCCGTTCGATGTGTTCCAGTTGCGCGGCGACTTTGCACCTCTGCTGGCGCCGCTTCTGCTGCTGACACTCAGCCATGGCGGCGCCGGTCTGCCCAAACAAGCTGTCCGGCCGGCTGACATCTCAGCAGAGGACATCGGACCCGCCTACAAGGTCACCACCCTCAACGATCGACCCATCATCGGTACGCTGAGCTACGGGGACTGAGATAATTATATCATGGTTGAGTAGTTCATACATTGCAAGTCATTTCATTTGCCGCGTTGCCCTATTAAAGTCAAATGTCAAATAAATACATGATTTCGATAGACGTTCGGTGCTTGGGAGTTGGGACCGTTTGAAGCACCCCATGTCCCTGAACTTTGGCGCTCCATGGAAACAATCGCCCGTCACGCATACGGTTTCGGTTACACGCTAAAAGCCGTTACACAGCGTTCTCCAATTATGGAAGCACGGAAATATACCATTAGGTATTCAAGTCGTGATATAGTGACAATACGGATCCGGAAATGGCACATTATCAGTCCGAGGCTGTCGCTCACCGCATTGGTGGCCCATTCCACTCTATATCTTTCTAATAGAGGTTTATTTGCCATTGAATCTACAATGCATGGATATTTCTATCTCGCAGTCCTCTGAGATGCAAAGATAAGAATTTGCTATCTTTGCATCCCTCTGAGATGAGATGACGAATCCTATAGAAAGATATAGGATTTCTCATGGCTCACTCGTGGAAGATCGGATATCTTTTCCTCGGGTGTTCCAAAAAACTCGCTCTTTCGTCGCTCGGTTTTTTCAGGAACCCATTTGGAAAAGATATGCTTTTCTTCCACTCGGAGCCATGAAGAAACATTTTGATATGTATGCAACACTTACGCATTTGGTACTCAATAATACTATTTTGATGTTTTTGGAACACCCTCTTCTGTATTTCTTGACAATAGCCTAAATACGTACCTACAACTTTATGTAGCGATGTCACATGGATCACACTTAAACTTTCAGCGTCGGCTGACTTTAAAAGCTGCATGTGCCATAACAGGTGAAATAGACATAACGTTCGAAGCGTAAGGCCATCCTTCTACAGCTCAAAACAGTGTGATAAAGTATCATACGACTCCTCGTTGCATCGTCGCTTATCTAAATCTTAAAGGGACCCTCCCACCTTAACATTAGATTTGAGTTGAGATAGCCAAAATGGGGTCCCTGGCTCACAATTACCGGTTTCGGCACTCACAACATCGAGAAATGCCTTAAATCGGAAATATTGAATTTCAAAATTGCAGCATTTTGATTCAGAGGGGCTAATGCATAGGAATACCCCTCTGAATGTGTGACGTCAGCGCAGATATCTAACGATTTTTAAATCTTTTACTAAAACGTTTGGTAGCACGTGGTGGTATATGCTGCTTTGCGCGCAACAAATGCCGCACTTTCAAATAAAGTCGCTAGGAACAGCGGAGATCCCAAAAAGCAAACAAAAGTAAAAGTAAATATCTTGAAAACCGGTGAATATTTTTCGATGAAATTTGGTAGATACTCGTTTTCGCTCTTTCTGAACCGAGCGACATCACTTTCATGCCAATTTGTTAACTTTTTTGAAGGTGGGAGGGTCCCTTTAATAAAATAAGTGATCGCCATTTCATCCAAACAATAGCGTTGTTTTTGCGTCGCTGCATGGTCGTCAGTCGGTAACCTGTGTAACCTGACCCGGTGACCTGTCACTGTGCAGGTATCGTGTCACAGGAGCTGCCCGGCAGCCTGCAGCGTGCCTTTGGTAACCACACCAGCTACATCGCCGCCTCCTACGTCAAGTACTGGCAGTCGGCCGGCGCCCGAGTGGTGCCCATTCTGTAAGAAAACGGTTACATTGCGCAATGCGCAGTGTATGCGGTAATACGCTAAATGCGTGTGATCATCAATCAATCAATTAGTCGCTAAGCAGTTGTAAGTTTTTGTATAACCTTTTTTCAGATACGTAGTTAAAATTCACTGGATGAGACAGGCCCAAGCGCAAACCAATGGCTTTCATTCAGTTATCGCCGAAAGCATTGTGTTTTTAAATTTCTTTCGTGAGTCGTTAATCAGTGCAATCCTCACCACTGCCGTTCACAGGATCAACCAGCCGGACGAGTACTACCAGGAGCTGTTCCACAACCTGAACGGGCTCGTCTTCCCGGGCGGCTCGGCCAAGCTGGGCGACAGCGGATACTACCGGGCCGCCAAGGTGCTCTGGGATATGGCGGCCGCCCAGCCCGACGTGAGTTACAACACCGAGCAGTGGCTGCTATAAGAGTTCCTGACAGCTTAGGGACGGTGGAAAAACGGGGGAGTCGCAGCAGGGACATCGGATGACTTTCGGTGCCTTTAGCCCAATTACCCCTTTAGCCTTTAGCCCCTTTAGTTCATGAATCCCTGAGCTGGTCATCTGTTTCAAGCCGTGGAAAATGATTCTGAAACTATTTAATCTGGCATTGAATGGTTTACATAAACGGCTGTAGTTATAAAACTGAAGCTTTGCCATGTCTAGTAGGGCTGACCGAGATTACTTCGAATCGGACGAATTTCATATTTCGGCTTCGGCTTACTATTTTTCCTATGTAAAATTTAATTTTAGATATGGTCTTACATGAGACAAAAATTGATCAGGATACGTCTTCCGTAGTAAAAATGCAGTTTTATGGGAACTGTTTCCAGATGTCGGTGGTATATTTGCAACATCATTTCCGTACCTCCTCTTTCTTATCGATGAATGGTCTTTTGCTTCGAAACCTCATCATACGGCGTACGAGTCCAAAGAATCAGATTGGATGAAATACCGGTGGCTGCAAAAACCTACGAAGCAGGTGAAGCTGCTCTTCAGATCAATTTAAACTCTTCCAGAATTGCAATCAAATGACGAAGCACTCTGGTGAACAGCATTATATGTAATATATTTAATGGAATAACCTTCAGGCCTGTTTCACTAACAAATAAAGTGTGTAATTACAAAGAAAAAACTTGAGTTTAAAAGAAATAATTACCAACATTTGAAATTTGGATTTCACGAAACCTTCGGGCATGAATTTTGAGTTTAAAATTTGCAAACTTTTTTACAAGAAAAAGTTTGCTAGAAAACACGGGAATCGCAAACTTTCTGTTTCACGAAGACCAGAAACTTGAAAGAAAACATCGTAATTACAAACCTGAAATTCCAGTGGTCCTGACGTTTGGAATTTTGATACTTTTTGTGCAATGATGCAAAGCAATCAATTATTTAAAACAAATATGATATGCTGAGTCATTATATGCTCTTTTTCACTTAGCACATTCCCTACGAACCAGCTACGAGCAATAAATAAATATCGTCATGTTTTGTCATTCGCGCGCCATAATTGCATTCAACAGTCTTCTGCTGTCAAATGTTTTACGTGTTATTTTCATTCAATAATAAGATATTGTGAACTATCATTTATACCACTCAGAAACAGCATCATTATTTTTAATTTATTCCTGTAATTTCTGACATGAAAACTAGACATAGTTTGATAAAAAGAAGCAATATCTGTAACATGTTAAAGTTCTTGATTAAAAACAATTTTATTGTTTACAAGTTTATTTACCAACTCTTTTTATCGGAGGTGTCGCTGGTGATGAAGTTTAGTGAAACCCGATTTTACATAGTTTGCAAAAATACTTATGAATTGTAAAGTTCAAACACTTGTAATCGCAAGTTTTTAGTGAAACAGGCCTGTTCAAAATTCTAAAAATTACCAAAAGTTACCAAAAACACTTGAATAATAAATGTAAACTTGATATAAATGTTTATCACTTGAACCGATGAAGGAACGCCTCCGAAATATATTCAAGTGTTTTTGGTAACTTTTGGTAATTTTTAGAATTTTGAACAGAGGCCTGTTTCACTAAAAACTTGCGATTACAAGTGTTTGAACTTTACAATTCATAAGTATTTTTGCAAACTATGTAAAATCGGGTTTCACTAAACTTCATCACCAGCGGCACCTCCGATAAAAAGAGTTGGTAAATAAACTTGTAAACAATAAAATTGTTTTTAATCAAGAACTTTAACATGTTACAGATATTGCTTCTTTTTATCAAACCATGTCTAGTTTTCATGTCAGAAATTGCAGGAATAAATTAAAAATAATGATGCTGTTTCTGAGTGGTATAAATGATAGTTCACAATATCTTATTATTGAAAGAAAATAACACGTAAAACATTTGACAGCAGAAGACTGTTGAATGCAATTATGGCGCGCGAATGACAAAACATGACGATATTTATTTATTGCTCGTAGCTGGTTCGTAGGGAATGTGCTAAGTGAAAAAGAGCATATAATGACTCAGCATATCATATTTGTTTTGTAGGGATCATCTATGCGATTTGTCATTTCATGTTGTCATTCTCATTTATATTGTCACCGCTTTATTAATCAATCTGTTACCTGTTGTCAATTGCGCGTCATGTTTGTTATTTGTAAACCGGCCTGCCGCTGGCCTCAACCTTCCTAGTAACCGCTGTGCCATACGCTATAGAACGTGTCGTGCAAAGGTCACGGCGGCACCCCTGAGGCGGCCGCTGCCCGTACGTTTAGGAGCCCATTGTCGTGACGTCATGACTGTGGACAAAGGTCGCGGTAGGGGCTCTCCCGGCAGCCGGACGGTGACTCATACGTTGAGCTTGTCTCTCGCCGCGCCTGCGGGCATATTGGTAGTACTAGGGACGGCCAGCATATGACCGCGGCTTTCGGCGACGTTGTCAATTCGTGTCTCGACTCTGCTGTTCGCTACAAGACAAATACACATAGAAAACGGCTCGGGCATTTGGAGAAGAGCGGCTACTCTGAGGCGAAGGAAGAACACGGAGATTCACACAAACGACCTGACTAGGTTGCACCGGCCACAGTCGACCGAGGTGGGCTTCTGCGCCCTTAAAGACGCCTCTGACTGGCCCTTGCGCTGACACCCTGGTCGGACCACGGTCATTGATCGGACCCTGCCACTGGTTCGTGCTCAGGCTGCCTTAGCGGGTAGACCTGCTCGACCAGACGCCCCACTGGTGGGCGAGTGCTCGGTTCCGACTTTCACCGCCGGTCCAACAGCGTTCTGCTGGTTCCCGCCGATCCGGTTACGACACCGCAAGTGCCGTACCGACTCGGGCGTCCCAGGCGGGCGTAACGGTTACCACACCAGTTCGCGACCTCCAGGCTCTGTCAGCCGTCGTACGGCTCTCGGACGGACACTCTAATAGATCAGCCACAGATCAATAGATTGTCACAGACCGTCCGTCCAGCCACGCGCTACCCACAGCGCCAGTACGACAATTGGTGACCCCGACGTGATCTCCGTTGTTCGACCTTAGCCTCTCGTCATGCCCGCGGACAGCGCACAGTCCGGCGCCGCAGCTCAAGACTCGGCCAGCGTTCCAGCTTCAGCCTCTGAGTCAACTCATCGGCCCATGGCTAGCTTCCGGCTACCACCATACTCTCCGGAAGAGCCCGACCTGTGGCTACTGCAGGTGCAGTGCGCTTTCGACGTCAGCGGGGTCGACTCCGACGAGCTGAGATTTAAGCTCCTCGTCGCAAACCTCCCCGCCAACATCGCCGTCCAGGTCAAGGACGTCATCCGGTCATCTCGGTCTTTTGACGTGCTGTGTGCGGCGCTCCAAGCCCGCCTGGCACAGTCACGCGCCGACCGACTACAAGCCCTGCTCGGCCGCCAGCAGCTCGGCGATCAGAAGCCGACGGCGCTGTTGCGCTCAATGCGCAACGAGCTAGCCGCAGCCGGGGACGCCCCGGTTGATACAGAGCTCTTCCGTACCCTGTTTCAACAACGGCTACCGCAACCCGTCCGTGCTGCTCTCGCCCTCCTGCCAGCCGACAGCACGCTTGACGCACTGGCAGAAGCGGCCGACCGGTACCTGGAAGCTAGCGGACCCGACCCACGGCTATCAGCGATCGCGGCACAGCCGTACACACAGCCGGCACCGCCCATCGCTGCTGCAGTGACAGCCCCAGCGCCAGCTGCAACCCCTGCGCTGGACACCGTCATCGCCTCCCTGGTCGCTAAGATGGAGCGCTTGGAGGCCAGCAACCGACGACTCGAGGACGCCGTGCGACGCGACCGCAGCCGTTCCCGGCCGCGCCAGGCGTCTCGCCAGTCACGCCGCCCGTCACCGGCTCGTCCTTCAACGCCGCCGCACGACGACACGCTGTGTTGGTACCACCAGCGATTCGGCGCCCAAGCGCGCCGATGCAAGTTGCCGTGCTCCTGGATCGCCTCGGAAAACTGAGGCGCCCCGTGCTGATGGCGCAAAGCACGGGCGCCCCTCCTGCCGCGCCACTCCTCTTCGTGAGGGACACGGAGACGGACCGGCAATTTCTAGTCGACACCGGGGCGCAGGTCAGCGTGCTGCCTCGCCGCTGCTTGCCCAACGGGTCCACACTGACCCCTGCTCCTGTCGGCCAGCAGCTTGTCGCGGCAAACGGCTCACCGATCGCGGTGCACGGCACCTGCCTGCTGGACGTCACCTTGAGTCAGCAGCACCGCCTGAAACATCGATTCTTCGTCACTGACGTCACCACACCCATCTTGGGCACCGACTTCCTGGCCGCACATCACCTCGTCGTGGACGTTGCCAACCAGCGTCTCCTGCGGGACGGCACCGTCTGCGCCAGCGCCGAGCGGTCAAGGCTGTGCTCCATCGGAGTGCGTCTCGTCCGGGAGCAGGCTGCTGCTCGCTTCGCAGCTGTCCTCGCCCGGTACCCGGATGTGACCTCACCAAAACCTGGACCAACACCGGTGAAGCACAACGTGACGCACCACATCGTCACCAAGGGTCCACCGGTGTACCAGCGGCCACGACGCCTCCCGCCGGAGCGCCTTCAAATCGCACGTGCTGAGTTCAACAAGATGCTCCAGCAAGGCATCATTCGACCGTCGAGCAGCAGCTGGACAACTCCACTCCACATGGTGCCAAAGAAGAGACCCGGCGAGTGGCGTCCTTGCGGCGACTACAGAGCGCTGAACGCCCGCACCGTACCAGACCGCTACCCGCTGCCGTACCTGCGGGACTTTTCAGCCGACCTGCATGGGTGCACCGTCTTCAGCACCATTGACTTGGTGAAGGCTTACCACCAGATCCCGGTGGAACCTGCCGACGTCCCCAAGACAGCCATCACGACACCGTTCGGCCTCTACGAATGCGTTCGGATGCCGTTCGGCCTCAGAAACGCCGGACAGACCTTCCAGCGTTTCATG